GAAGAGTCGGACATTCGCGCTCGTTTTCCAGATTTCCAGTTTTGATGTACATATTTCTTTAACTTATGTACATAGTTCATGTATAGTAGTCATGTTTTGAATTTCCGAGGACGAAAATTTTGTAAGGAGGGAGGATTGTAATATCCCGATATTTTAATCGGTGTAAATTACGTTTAATTCCGATATAGTAACGTTATTGTTTATTATTTTCGAAATTAATTAAGTTCAGTCGGAATTACTGAAATCTATTTTCGACGTACCGTTTACGTTCGAAATAATTTTGGTAATTAAGTAGTATGTTTAATTAAAAATTAAACATAAAATTAGTGGTTAATTGTGGAATTAATCACTTAAGTTAATTAAGCCGTGGGAAATGTCCCCAATATTGCTAATAGACCATAGCCTTCCTTCATCATGCGGTCATCCATTTTCCTCCTCAAAAATTTAACACAAAACGTGGCATAAGTAGAGGTTAATTAGTCATCAACTAATGATCCCAAATTGAGGCAAATGTCAAAGCCAAAAGTGGCCACGCCACTTATACATCATCTCCCTTCATTGCCGTGCACCTATATAAGAATCACTTGTGCAAAAATTTCCGTCACTTTCCCTAAGGAATCGATCAGCAAGTATAACCCTTCAACATCAGCAATTACCTCTTATATTCAGCAGCATATTCAGCAAATTTTCCCTAAGTTATCTTCCATAATCGCACGGCAATTGGAGTATCGCACAGTAGAGGTTGAGGCTATGCACGGAGTATACGCGAGGAAGGAAGCCACGCCTATATTGCGATTTCAGTCGAGAGTTCCAAAGAGGTAATCTCTCCTCAGCTCATGTTTATAGTAATTAGGTCATTTCAGAGTTAATTGTTCGGGAGATTTTCAGAAATTCTTAAGGAAGATTCATGTTAAGCTCGGTTAGCCCTTAATAGTTTATGCCGAGTGAAGTTTAATTTATTTCCGGCAAGTCCCGAGCATTTTCTATTTGTTGAGCCTTTATTAGGTGATTCATGTTCAGTATGATCAGATTTGTCAAACAAAGTTGAGGTTTTGTCGATTAAATGGCCCCAACCGACGCCGCGCCTATCGCGCGTGGCCTCGGGTGGCTTCGGGCCGAGAATTGTTATCTCCAGTATTAAGCATGTTATCCGTGTAATCAGTCCTTAAATTGCTTCAGTTTAATAGTCATGTTGAGTGTTTCTGTAGTGGTC